GATAACTCGAAAACTATTAGAGATACAGGGATGAAATTTGTTATGTGATCTTTGCACATAATTTGAAACTTTGCAGCCAAGGGATCCTACCTACAAGTTTAAAATGCAGTAACGAAATTATTGAAAAATTTAGAAACTATCTGAACACTCAAAATAAAAATTAGGAGTAATATTTTTAAATTTATTGCTCAATTTAATCTTGTTTTTTGATATTAAATGTTGCGTTCTATATTTTCTTTTGCCGTTATTATTATGGGACAAATTAAATTCATCAACTGCCACTATTATTATGGGACAAATTAAATTCATCAACTGCTACTATTATTATGGGAAAATTAAATTCATCAACTGCTACTATTATTATGGGACAGAGGTAGTACAATTTTGGTGTAAAGACCACATACTAAGTTGCATTCGTTTACTCATTCCTTTTCTAAATTATAGTGTTCACAGACAGACATTTACAAACTGACATAGAGGCAATAAAACCTCGATTAACCGAACTCGGGTTAAACGAAATGCCTCTATATCGCAAATAAAAAAAAAACATACTGTACTGCGAGGAAATAATCGCGAAGACTAGACTTTTGCAACATATCCCCACTTCTTTTAACCCATTCGACCCGACTTTTGCATGATTAAAATTCAACTATGAAAAGTAGCTTAATGTTGGCATACTAAAAGAAGCATACTATGAGTTTAAAGTTTTCCACTTTTCCCGTTTCCTGGGACAATACATCCCAATCGTATAGTGGACTCGGACTATTCCAGTAAAACTGTCTTTCCTGCCTTAGGATCAGCATGTACAGAGAAACAGCTTTACAGCTTCATAACAATAATCTTGTAGTAATTTGATCACTGATGGGATATATTGTCCCACTGTTAAATACGATTACGGCAATATATTCCACAAAAATATTTATTCAAACTTTCTTAAATCTCATATTCAAAAGGCTAGATTATTACTTAATAAGAACTATTTTTCACTAAGTATGGTATAAATATAGTTTTACTTACTGTAAAATTAAAAAAAATAGACTATATGAAACTTGAGTAATGTGCGTGCTCAAAAACATAAGTCAGCCATTTGCAATCCGAGAGCGTTTCCAAGTTTCTTTAAATCAATTTTATTCCCCAATTTCTTAATAACACTGAAAACATAAAAACTCGTGTAAAAGTGGTATTTATTTACCAATAGGGAAAGAAGTCTAATCTTCGGGACGCATATGGCCATTAGGATCGAAAGGGTTAAACCTCCCAAAGAAAATCAGTGATTTATTTTAGAGTATTAAAATTAAATGGGGTTAGAATATAAATTACAATAGTGTTTAACTGCACCTGTAAGACGCATTGCGCCCGTCACCGGTGGGAATATACCGCCCGACGGAGGGTTAACTTTAATAAAAAACGTAAGTGTAGCCTACAAAGAGAGCTTTTCATTTGTTTTACACTCGAACCATTTCAGAATTACAACCTGTAATTATGAATAAAATAGTAATAAATGCTTATGGCTTAACCGACAAATTATTATCCGAAACGGCTTCCCTCCACTTCTTTAATTCGGTTAATTGGAGTTATATTGTAATTCATAAATTAGTTTTTCCATAAAGCCTTACTAGTGGAGATTCATTAAGATCACGGAGGGTTTTAAGGTAGGACTACGTTCCTCCCATTGGGGTCCGAGAAAGGAATTTGATTGACACGCCAAAACGCCAAAAAAACGTTGTATGGGAGATACTCTATAATAATAATAACATAACTAATGTCTTATAAATTTTAAAAATAATTTTTTCCAATTTTTTGCTTATAATTCAAAAATTATAAATTTTTAGTACATCATCATTATATACTAAAATAATCAGCACAAAATTTCCTACAGCTTTATGTCTATACAGCTTTGTAACACTGCTTGTTTCTGAGCTGATGAGCCACCACTATGGAAAACAGAGGTGCAGTGGAGCCAGAACGCCGTTTCGGCACTGCCTTTTTTACTTTCTCGTATACGAAGTATACCAAGAGAAAGTATTGTAATCGTAAAAAAATTCAAATTCGAGATTTTGACGAATCTCCACGTTTTAGACCTCACCGAGTCCCAAAAACACAATTCTGGGATTATGTCCGTCTGTCTATGAACACGATAACTCGAAAACTATTAGAGCTACGGGGATCAAATTTGGTGTGTGATCTTTACACATAATTTGTAGCTTTCTATCAAATTTTGGACAAACTCCGTCCACGCGAAGTCTGTCTGCCCGCCTTCATCTGAACAGTATAACTCAAAAACTTCAATAGCTAGATGTAAAATAGCATATGTAGCTCTAAAATTTGGTACACAGTTTTATCATCAGGAATATAGGTTCGTATAAAATTTTGGGCCAAATCCGTCAAACGGTTGACTGTCTGTCGGTCTGTATAATTGCAAATTTGTGAACGCAATAACTCTTTAAGATAATGACTTAGTTATATGAAATTTGGTATACGGCCTTCTAACCTTAATTATAGATTTTTGCCTAATGTTCGTTTCAATCGGCTTAAAAAAAGGCATTGAAATTGCCTATTCGGTTTTTTCCACATTTTACATATCTACGCCACAAAAAAAAAGCTGCATACGCTGGAGCGAGCGTCTTCCTCACCTTAGGGAATACCTCACATTTTCTGGCGAGCGGTGTATCCCTCCCCCCACCTGTGTTATTCCTATGAGAGAAAGTTTCGGGGGTGAGGGCACTCCCGCTGGTTTCTACGAGAAATAATTTTTAAAAATGTGGAAACTTTCTTAAAACAGCGCGATTTTTGTCACCCAGGTTAGAGCGTTCAGGCACTGCTTATTTTGCGACTACCCACTGCTAGAAAAACACGAGTATACTCGTGAGCAGCTTGTTTAAAAGATTAATGATATGTTTTGTATCGATACGAGGGTTATTATAGGGTGCACCTCGCAATTATAAATCGTTTTCAGATGACGGAAGCGAGCAGCCAATTCACTGATTAGCAAAGTAAATCAAGTATCTTATTACATACTACCAGTCTACCAACACCACTAAATAATGTGGAAAATGCAACATTTTCATTTTTCATTTCAAATTAATTTTTTTAATAATTCTTTCCATGATTCTTCTGATATTGTTTATATTTTAGTCCAATATATATAACTTTTAAAATATAAGCACCCAAATGAGTGTCGTTATGGGTAATTATTCCCAAGATCTCCAAGTTTTACCCTTCATTCAGCATGTTTCGTGTGTTCAACTTAATCTGTAATGTCTCGCTGATGCAACTAGGACATTATATCTCAAAAAATTTAATTATTTTCCAAAATGAATGACATTGTGTTATTTCCAAACATCTCCAAGATAACTTCCGTCTATCACGCCACCTTGAGAGCTATCAAGCTTGTGACATTCCAATCTACAACACATGGCAAACACGGCTTGCATAACCAAGATTGGCGCCAATGCAAAACGATAAAACCGGAGAATCATGAATGATTTCGGCTCAGTTGGTTGTAGGGACATGTCAGCTCCGAGAAAATAAAAAAATTAAAGTACAAAGTGTTTGTGTACACAAACCTCTCAACATCTCGTGTCCAATCGAAGGGTAGGGATGCGATGATCGAAGAACGTGTGTACGAGATGGAGCAGCAGATATCGTTTAATGATCTGACTAATTAAACAGTTCGGCTTCACTTCAAAGGTTACGGCTGATAACGAGCTTTGCTGCAAAGTGTTGCTGCTGAATGGGCATGAACTATGACTTGTACTTTGTTTGATTCAATGTTACGACACAGCTGGAAGCAGGACCTCCACGCATAATATTGATAAATACAGCATAGGTTGAGGTCGTTGAGGATGATATAATTATCAGTATGATACATAGATGACAAAGTGATTTTGGGGGAAAAAATCCACCTACTATTATAAAAAGAATGGCCTTAGTTTTGTATTCCAACAGTTGACAGGAGTAAAGAATATGAAAGGGCGTGTGGTTGGCCTTGCCATCATAAACATGCTTTTCTTTATTTACTGCTTATATTGAGTTGCTCAGAAGACAATGCGGTCAAGTCCATTTTTAGATATTTTCCGATTTTTGTAAATATTCTTTTTAGTTAATAAAAGATTCACTCGTTGCTTCATTAGAAGACTTTATATATTTTTGCTGATCAAATTAATGAACCAAAAATTTTAAAATTCAATGTATTAAAAATAAATTTTCTCGATTTTTTCTGGACTTAACCGCATTGACTTCTGAACGATTAATTCATTGATAGAAAGGTAATTTACCGCATTATCATTCGGTACTGAACCCTGGAACGGTAACGTTGAGTCAAATTGACTCCTTTTCCCATTCAAAATGCGAAGCAACGTTATCGTTCCAGGGTTAAATTTGACTGAAGTTTTTTCTTGTCGATTTTTAGAATACAATAGATTATAAGTCATATTTTTCAAACACGTGGTAGCAGCCAAATCTCATGAATTATAAAAAAGTGTATTTGTGCAGCAAATCATAACACAAAATCGATTGAAACGTTGAATGCAGAAACCACGAGTCAATTTTATTTCCAAAAACGTGTTTATGCCATTTTCACACTCCTATGAGGAGTATTTACATAATATGTGAAGAATGACAAGAGTCAAGTAAAGTCACATAAAAAATATACCAGGTGAAAAAAAATAATCTCTGATTTAAAAAATTAGTTTTTTTAAAAAAAGCTCCCAGTACTTTGATATTACTGACTTAGTTTTAGTTATATTAACGTCCCGTTTTAAAGCAACACGAGGGCTATTTTAGAACGGACCTCGTAATTTTGAAGACAAAGAAGACGACACCTGACCTCAAACCTCTTCTCCAGACTTCCGCACCACACCAACGTCCGCCCATACCTGTAGACTCTAAACCCTATGGGTGAGTCGGTCGACTTGGTTTGTGGGCACCACACCAATGGGACGACGTTTGGCCCCCTACGTATAATTTAACGTGCAACAGGCCCACAAACACGGCGGTTATTCAGTGGAATCAGGTTTCGAACCTGGAGCCCTGTGGCCCGAAGCCCAGACCTTACCACTAGGCCACCGCCGATCTTTAATATTATTGACTCATGCGAAAGAAGTATCAAAGTGAATTGCTGCAATCAACAATTCACCTTGATACTTCTCTTCTTACATTCAAATTATTTGTCACAGATATCACATGTATACATTCTAAGGCGCAAGTCACATACTGTCTGTCCGCCAAGTTGTCTAGTTGATGGCGGTTGCTATAGAAACAAATTATCGCAGGAGGAATTCATTTCGAGTTGGCAGACGTTCATTCAAGTTTGTTACGTTGGCCCACTTAGCTCCAAATGGGAAGAATCGTGCAACTTTGGCAAAACCGAGAAGACGAAGGATCAACCAGCAATTCAAAATAGCAAAATAAGGTCAAACCTTCTTAAAAATAAGGCCAAAAAAGGCCAAATTTGGCAAATTGATTGAAAACGTAATTTACTATTAGAAAAACAGCTATCCTTCGTGAAAACGAATCCCACCTGATAGGCATATGTTCAATGTTCTATTACTCAACTAAAATTTAAATGGAAGAAATTTAAAAACATCCTTATTCTATTCAGGAGCTATTTCGTTTGACAGCTAATTATATATCATTTGAAATGTGTAATATCAAAAATTTATTAAAAAACAATAGAATAAGTAATTAAAAATTGTCCTAAAAGTCATTAATGAAAAGAAAGCCAAAAAAAAGTCCAAAAGTAAATTTAAGGCCAAATGAAAATTCTTAAGGCCAAGGGCTTTTAAAAAAGGCCAAATTTCTATAATTTGGCCTTAAAAAGGCCAATATGGCAACCCTGTGATCAACTATCTCAGCAAACTGGCGCTAAGAATAAAATAAAACATCGTATTCCTCCTATCCGAAATGGATCTTCCCTAACATAGCCAGTTGCTATAGCGACCGCCATCGACTAGCCAACTTGGCGAACAGAGTTCACGTGGCGGACAAACAGTAACTACCTTAGAGAACAGACACAGTTATTTTTAACCGTTTCAGTTTGCTATATTAATACTAGAAGAGGATGGGAGACAGTACTTGTTCGTTTTACACTCTGATATGATATTTGATTCTGTCACAATCGTAAAATTTGAGACGAATTTTTTTGACATTTCAGTCAAGTAACAGCTTCTAATAGTTTTAAACGAATGAAATGCCAAAATAAATTTATAAATAAAAATAATTAATATATTCATTCAAACAGTACATGGTTTATGGTTTGGATACGATTTCCTTACTTGTTGTTAAAGAAAATAAAGATTAGTTAAAAAATATATTAAATTTTAATATGCATCTTAGCAGTTAATGTTACTATGCTAGTTAATGAGAAATTTACTTATATATAAGAGAAAGAACTCAAAGTCATTTTCCATAAATATGAACGTACATTTACAATTATATTACAGCACGAAAATTCTTTGTGAATGTAAAAGGCGTTGTAAGCTCAATTTCAAAATAATTTTTTTACAAAATTTAAATCATTTTTTTAAAAAATGGAGTATATTATCAGCCTAAAGTTCCTATATGATAAAAAATTAATAAACTTCATCAAGGAACTGGTTTTTTTACGCTTCCGTTTCTTTGTCTTTAGCATGCTGCGAAAAGTTCAAAATACCTTTTATCAGTTTACCACGAATTGCTTCCTTCGAGTCATTAGGAAAACATGTCTTTCGATGAAGTTCATTGCATTCGATTTGCTGAAATATAGTATGCGACTGGGTTTCTCAGCTACCGTAGTAAATTAATTTCATTCTCTTTATTTGAACAATAAATATTGCTTATTAAATTTAAGATGCGATTCTTAGTTTAATTTTTTTGGTGTTGCAAGCTGTTTTGAAAAGTTAAGAAAATTATACCACCTTCAGTTTTTTTAATTTTTTTTATTTATGTATGTTTTTATTCAGTTTTTTAAATATATATTTCTGTAAATGGAACTACTTTTTATTTTATTTTATACTGTCATTATTGCTGCTATGAAAATCAACGAATTTTTTGTTTTAGTAGTGACCGTATCCAGAAAAAAAAGTTCCCATGAATATGTCTGGAAAACAGATGACTCATGATATGAATGAGATGATTCATAACAAGCCTTCTTGAAATCACGTCTTTTCAATGACTTTAAAAGCTACGCTAGCCACTCCTTTAGCCTGCAGGTGTACATCCCTCCTTCAATATCCTGTTCGCATTCTTTAGAAGGGGTGGGGGGATTCCGGCCAATGCCAGGGACTAGTTGAGGCGACCATGCGTTCTTAAATAATTTCGAGGAAATTTCGCAACACCATTAAAGTACGAAGAATTTTTCGCAACCCCGACCCAAAGAGGATATATATCACGTATAACCTATAACTACTCGCGCCAAATTCACACAGCAAAATTTCCCGCGCAGTGTATTTTGTACACCACATAATTCTGAGTTTCTAGGTAAAGAGATTAACCTTCCAACGGGCGCGCCTGCTCAAATTTTACGACACATCGTGCATCGTATTACATAAATATATCGTGTTTTAGAAAAATAAATGCAACTTTTATTTATGTTATCTATATTTATTAGCTTAATAGTAAACACAGATTTTATAAATAAAAATTGCACTTAAATTTGTAAAAGAACGATATAAATAGGTAATACGATGCACAATGCAAGTATCTCTTGCATACGCGCGCCCGCTGGAAGGTTAATGTTTTATAAGATCAGTTTTAAGTCAAATACAATGACAATGCGTTACAATAAATAAAAACACACTCAAAATAGGCGTTTACGACAATATTACACAATATAAATTTGTGCGATGCATATTGAAGATTTATAAATTTATATACAATTATAATAAAATAACACCAGCGGGAGTGGTCTCCTCTAAACTTTCTAGTATAATCCTAAAACATATGAGAAAAACAAAGGGTTTAGGAGATATAATTTTTACAAGTGCGCGATTATAAAAGTCCGACATACAGTCAATCCTCGACGGATTTTGTCCAAACTTTGATACGGAGTTACATTCATGATGATAAAACTGTGTACCAAATTTTATCCGTCTAGCTATTCAGGTTTTTGAGTTATAGTGTTCACATGAACGTGAACAGACATACAGATGAACTTCCCCTAGACGGAATTTGCAAAAAATTTGACAGAAACCTACAAATTATGTGAAAAGATCACATACCAAATTTCATCCCCGTAGCTCTAATAGTTTTCGAGTTATCGTAACAGACAGACAGCCATAATTGCAAAATTGTGTTTTTCGGATTCAGGGAGGTCTAAAACGTGGAGATTAGTCAAAATCTCGAGTTGAATTTATTGACGATTACAATACTTTGTCTTTGTATACTTCGTATATGAGAAAGTAACAATCAAAGGGCAATAGAAATATTGTAGTTAGAAATTAAACAACTTTAATTCATTAAATTCAAAAAATCCGGTTAGAGCTAAAACAGTACTTATTCAGTGTCTTTATTGTTTCGAGAGACTTAACTATACAAAGACTTCGCTCAAATTCTTGGGTTCAAATGAAAGAAAACAAAAACCTTCCCACATCACTCGGCATTTGTCACCTGTAGGTTAGCTGAGCGAAAAAGATGAAGGGCGAAGCAGAATTAAAACAATGGCTGTTAAAGCTCCAATGATGTACAAAATAGACCAGCGCGAGTAATTACGGGATAAATAAAATAAGTCAGTAAAGCTAAGATAAATAGGGAGAAACTTGGCTGGCTCAAGTTAGAACGAAAATTTCAGTTAAAAGTTTTAAACCAAGATGTCTGTCTTAATATTTGCTTCATCTGGTAGACGCATAATCTGAAATGTGACAGCTCTCTCATTTGGATTGGGATCTGTCGTTTAATCAGTCTTGAACTAATTCTATTCCGAGTCCAGTCCCTCGGCATAATTAGGCATCTCAACACAACTAATTATAATTAATTTTAATATTATTATTAAGTTTTAAACCAAGATGTCTGTCTTAATATTTGCTTCATCTGGTAGAAACGCATAATCTGAAATGTGGCAGCTCTCTCATTTGGATTTGGACTGTCGATTAATTAGGCTTGAACTAATTCCATTACGATTCCAGTCCCTCGTCATAATTAGGCATCTCAACACAACTAGTTATAATTGAACTATGGCACTCTGATCTGCAACGACCTATTGTTGTCTCAGCTATACATGTAGCATTTTTCTTTAGGCGAAGTGTAAAAAAGCATCTTGAAATGAAATAGGCAGTAGTTGATCCAATTTTTATTTATTCATCCGACTTAAAAGTGGTGATGCAGTTATATCAAACAGATAGCGTAATCATGATTAAATTTAAACCCATGACCAAGGGTTAAGAATTTAGGCGCGAAGCGGCGCGTCTCACCAGGAAGGAGTTGCATCGTGAAAAGAGAAAGATGGCGGCACTCATGCCTTTTTATACTGCTGAGAAAACGGGGAAATCCCGATCTCCTGACTTTGTAACTTAAAGCAGAAGTGTGTTTGTCTAAGATTGAGTTTAGTTTAGTTTAGTTATATTAACGTCCCGTTTTGAAGCAACACGAGGGCTATTTTGGGACGGACCTCGTAATTTTGAACCTCGGTCAGATGACGAGGACGACACCTGAGCTGGCACCCCCCTCTCCAAACTTCCACGCCACACCAACGGGAGGACGTTTGACCACTACGTATGATTTAACGTGCAACAGGCCCCATACACGGCGGATCTTCAGTGGAATCGGGTTTCGAACCTGGAGCCCTCCGGCCCCAAAGCCGATACCTTACCACTAGGCCACCGCGGCCCGTCTAAGATTGAAGCAGAAGTAATTCGTTTGTAATTAAAAATTAGGTGGCTTAAAAAGGATCTAATTTAAAGAAGGTTAAAAATTTTAAATCATTACATATTTTTTTGCTGTAAATAAATTAGATTAGTTTCTAAAAAGAATGCATTCTCTGCAGTGACTTAGAGACGGGGAAAAATAGGATATAGATGCCCCAAGAGCCAGTCTTAAAGAGTGTCATGGACACAAAGTGTTAGTGTGTTTACATCACATTTTGAAGCCAAATATAGCGT